TTTATTATGTTATATTTAACTCTTTTTATTTTGTGTGACCATTAACAAATGATTAGAGCAATATTATTTTTAGTGCTTTTATCCTTTAACCTTTGTATTAGAGTTAACTGGCTAATACACTATCATTTTATGGTATTAAAGTATTCTGAATTGGACTGTATACTTATCTTTACTAGTGCATTATACATTTTCATATAATTAATTAGTGTCCTTTCATTTCAAGTTGAAAACTCATTTCAGCATGTCTTGGAAAGCAGATCTAGTGGTGGTAAACTCCCTCAATTTTTGTTTGTCTGGGAAAGTCTTTATCATTTCTTCATTTTTGAAGGACAGCTTTACTAAGCAGGGTGTTGTTGGTGGGCATTTTTTTCTTCCATTTAGCACTTTGATTGTATCACCCTGCTCTCTCCTGACTGTAAGGTTTCTGCTGGGAAATCCTCTGATAACCTTATGGGGGATCCTTTATAAATTACATGCTTCTTTTCTATTGCTGCTTTTAAGATCTTACTTTTGCCTTTGAATTTTGACAGTTTTATTACAATATGTCTTAGAGAAGATCTCTTTAAGGTGAGTTTGTTTGCAGAACTACGAATTTCATGAATTTGAATATCCAAATCTCTCCCCAGACTTGGGAAGTTCTCACTTATTTCTTTAAACAAGCTTCTGCCCCCTTCTCTTTCTGGGACTCCAGTAATTCACAGATTGTTGGTTTTGATGGTGTCCCATAAATCACAGAGGCTTTCTTCACTCTTTCATCTTTTTTCTTTGCTCTCCTCTGACTACATAATTTCAAAGGTCCTGTTCTCTATCTCACAAATTTCTTCTCTTTGATCTGTCCTGCTGATGACCTATTTCATTTCATTCACTGTATCTTCAGCTCCAAAATTTCTTTTTGTTAAGTGATGTCTATCTCTTCATTAAACTTCTTATTTAATTCACCTACTATATTCCTGATTTTGTTGAACTGTCTTTCTCTGTTTTCTTGCAGCTCCCTGAGCTTCCTTAAAACAGCTATTTTAAATTCTTTCTCAAGGAAATCATAGCAGGTCTTTGGGATCGGCTTACTGGAAGATTATTGCAATCCTTTGTTTGTGTCATGTTTCTCTCATTTTTCATGTTCCTTGAAACCCTGTGTTGCTTTCTTTGAATTAGAAGTAGCTGTCACCTCCTCCATTCTTTATTAGCTGACTTCGGGAGAGAAATACCTTCCATCAGCCCTGCTAGGGATTTTGAGGTTTTCTCAAACCCTCTGTGGCTATACCTTCTCCATGCTTCTTGCTCCCTCCTGTGACAGAATTCCTAAGCTTGTAGACCTTTCCACCCTGCAACACACCGGGACAAATGCTGGTAGCCTCTCTTGCTTTCCCAAAGGTGGAACTAAAGTTCAAGTTGATGATCTCTCCCTGGCGCGCAGACTCAGGCCAGCTTCCGGCATATGCTTGCTGGCTGGCTGCCAAAGCTGCTCTCACCATTTTTGGGACCACGAACCGGGAGCCAGCTACAGGTGGGGAGTGTTTGTGGGAGAAGCTCATGGAGCCCTGGGGGTGCCCATGGGACCTGGGGGTGAGATATCTTCAGTGGCTTATGGGTGGGTTTCTCGACGGGGGTCTGCAGTACAGTGAGCAGTAGGGTCTGTATCCTTTTAACGCCTTCCAGAAAGTCCTGTCTGCTGCCCCCCGCCCCCGCTCCTGCGTCTTTCGGCTTCCATCATGCAGCTCATGACTCCGTGCTCTGGAGGAGTCAGGAGAGGAGAAAAGGGTCTCATTGGCAGCACCCAAAATAGCTGGGGAGCTTGGGCAAGCCCACTCACATGCTCTCACTTTCCCCCACAGGAGAAATCATGGACCGCAAAGGTCTCTTTGGCCCTGAGCTGTGCCACTCTGGGTGAGGGGTGATGCAGGTGATATCAAACCGTTCCTCTTACCCATTCCACTGCAACCAAATTTGAAGTTCTGCTTCCAACAGTGTGCTGGAGCTTGTCCACTGGAGCCCTGGACTGCCACAAAGGCTGCCTCATCTGTGGGTGATTGTCTAAGACAGTCCTCTGCAGAGGCTCCCAGACCAGAGCCAGGAGGGGCTAGAGCCAGCTCCCGGGGCATCGCAGGTTCCTCAGCCAGGATGAAGCTCTCTATGCTCTTTACATGATGAGTGGTTGGGCGCCCGGTCTGCCTGGCATACGGTGCCGGATCCCACAGCTTCCCAAAAGGTACCTTTGTCCATAGAGCATAGACGGAAGCAGAATTGTTGTTGGTGAGGAGTCAGTATGGGTGAGGGACATCTTATTTGGCCATCTTGCTGACTTCACTCCTTGTCTCCATTACTGTTTTCTTTTGTGATACATAGATGGTGTCTAGTGTACCATTTTATTTCTTTTATTATATAAGATATAATAAGTTATTTTGTTAGTGATTGCTCTCAGGACTACCATTATCATTGCAACTTATAACAGCCTCGTTCAGTTGTATACCATCTTGATTTCAATAGCAGATGAAAACTTTGATCCTATACACCTCCCCTACCCCCCCTTAAAGATACTATGGGTGGAGGAGGAGGACCATGAGCTAAGGAAGGGAGGAAGCCTCATGAAGTTGGAAAGTCAAGAAAACTGATTCTTCCCAGAGCCTCCAGAAGGAATGTGGCCCTACTGACCCATTTTAAACTTCTGACCTCCAGAACTGTAAGATGATATATTTGTGTTGTTTTAAGCCATTACATTTATGGTAATTTGTGACAATAGCAGTAAGACTACTACAGATTTTGGCATCAGAAGTGGGGTGCTGCTGTAACAACCCTGAAAAATGTAGAAGTGTCTTTGGACTTAGATGATGAGCAGATGCTGGAAGGATGTTGAGTGCAATGGAAAGAGCCTAGATTTCCTGGAACAGACTTTGGCAGCCACAGGGAATGGGTGTGCTGTCCTTGGCACTCCCCCCTAAATCAGAGCCTCGACCACTGCTTTGCGCTCACAGTTTCATCACTCAAGGAGCAAGGAACCCAGGCTTAGCTGGAGAAAAAAATGGACTCAAGATTTCCTGAAAATGAATAGACGTGGTTTGAAAAGGGACTGTTAGCAGGTCATCTTTGGACTTGAGCATGTGAGTAGCCCCTCCCCTAGTCTCCCCTCCTTCCAGACCCTCCACCTCAAATCTGCCTGGCATTAGGTCCGATGCTCAGTATACTACATGGTAATGTCCCATTTGCTGGCACACGGCTCCCTTTCTGCCTCCTGCATCCACTGAAATCTGGGATTTATTTTTGATTGGCCATCAAAACTGTGGCCTGGAGGAGTAGAGGAAAGGCGGGGAGGGATGTTGGACCCAGCAGGAAGATCAGTGAGTTCTGTAAAAGACTGCTAATGAATTGGCTGCTGACTGATGTATCAGGGTACTTTAGGGAGTGTTACTTGGAGCTTTGATGGAATCCCTCATCCTGAATCAGGGACCCTAGACTGCTCAGGAATGTGGGAGCAGAACTCCCTCTCTTCCTCTCCAGCTTCAGCTGGTCGAAATGGAAGTTTTCTGAGAGGCACACTCCCAGATCCCAGAACGTAGGCCCTGCTGAGTTCCTATCTGTCATCATCCCCGTGTTATTGATGGAAACTCAGAAGACCCAGTCTGCCCTAGGTGACAGAATGAGTCAATGCCAGTTCTGGGATTGGAACCCGTGTCCTTTCTCCCAGGCAGTGGTCTCCCCAGCTTCCAAAGACATTGCCTGGTCTAGCTTGATATAGCAGTCATCTTCCCACTGGATTGGCCTGGTGAACCTGCAAATTCAGCACGCAGAATTTATTCAATAAGACAAGAAATCTGCTTTCCTTAATGGAGGAGTCTAGATGGGTCAAATGCATCACAGGTAGCCGAATTCCGTGCAAGGGAATACAGACCTTAGGTGGACATTCTGGAAAGAGGCCCATTCATCTAAATGGGATTGAGATGGAGGAATATTGATATAAAAAAGTGCACTCTGGTTTCAAGAAACTTGTCTCCTAATATGTGGGTTGTAGAAGTGGCTTCCATATCTTAAGTCACAGGTCCTTCTCCATCTACAACACTCAGCATTTCACTCTGCTGTACTCATTCTTCTCTAAAGTTTCTCTATTCAGACACTCATAATCTCTTGCCTGGACCACAGCAGTAGCTATTCCTTTGTCTCTACTTCTCCAGGTCTGCATAAAGCCAGTAAGTTAAATTTACTGAAACTCCCCTTCTGAACCTCTGAATATGAACCTTTCTCATTGGCCCAAACATTTTCAACATCTCCTTTCAACTTACGAAGCTGAGTTTGAATGTACCACCCTGACACTCAAAGCCCTTTACACAACTTTCCTTTCTAAACTTCTCCATCACTTGATACAGACATGGACCCAGCTCACAAGTGATTAGTGTTCTCCCTTTTCATTTTTTTCCATTTCTACCTCTAGGAATTTTCTCATACTCTTCTTTCTCCTTTTCTTAATGATTCTGCAATTTTTCTAGAAAAATCTCATACATCCATCAAGGTTAAGTATAAGTCATATTCATGAAATCTTAATTTAACTATCTTATCAGTGGTCATTAAGATTCTCTCTGATTTCCCAATGGCTCAGGGTCTGTATCACTCCAAGTTAGAGGATTATTGGAAGGGGATAGACTGGGGGCCAGTATCCCAGTTAGTGGGAAGTAACACTAGATTATGGGAGAGACCGAGGGCAGGGGCTGTGGGAAAAGAGATGGGGGTGGGCCTGTTGCTGAGCAGGTGAGAAGGGTAGATGGTGTCAGGGACTGGAGTAGTAGTAGTAGGATGCCTGGCTGGGTCCTGCATTAAAGATTCTTCTGTAGGTGTTCAGATGAGCCCACCCAGTGGAAGAGACCAGGGTCAATCCACACTCTCATTCCTCCAGAACACGAGCCCCTCTTTGAAACCGTGTTCCTCCCTCACCACCCAGATTATACTCAGCTTGTTAATTTCCTTCAAGAAAACACCAAAAGCCAGGTTTTGTAAAAAAATATATATACTGTTCATTAGTTTCATAAAATATATTTCCACAATAGCATTTTCAACATGCTCTGGAATTTAAAACACAAAGTCTTTGCATTTGTGATCCTTGCAAGGATCCTCACACCATCCCAGGGGTAGAATTGGAGTTCACAGAGGAAAAGCAATTTGTCTGAGTCACCAGAGCTAAAAAAAAAAAACACTAATATTCATGGAAGATAAACTTAAAACATCAATAACTTAAATAAGGTTAACATTACTTAAGGCATCATGTTTCATATCAGTAAACAAAGTTCATACTTTTTGAAATGATAATAAAATAATATCAGAGGGCATTCTGGGAAAGCTGGGAGGAAATAAATTAGGTTCAGATTCTTGGGTTGTGGAGTGAGTGTTCAAGGCTTTGGATTTTGGGTTTTCTTATCCAGGTGCTTCATGGAATCCTGGACCCACTTCTGCTTGGGGTCAGCACAGATCTCCTTGGTCAGTATGGTCCTGAAGCTGTGGGAGAAGAGGACACAGTTAGATGGAGTTCCATTGAGGTTTCAGCCCAGGAGGGCAGCTGGCCCCTTCTGCCCCAAGATGCTACATAGGAACAGGAGGAGGTAAGCAGGTGGAAGGAGGGAACCCAGACAAGCTGCTCCTATAGTTGTCCCAGTGGAAGCCATCCTGACTTCAGGCTAAATGAATCAGGACAGTCTGAATAAGTGCTCAAACAGAGAGTAATGTGGGAGTCACCCTTCCCCTTGCGGGCTAAGTTTTCCCACTGGGCACCTTTGGATATTGGGTTAGATGATGTACTGTCTCTGACTCTAAGTCTGTGAGGCTTGTCTTAGCGCTGGGCCAGGGGGCCTGGTGTGCTCAACTCACATCACAGCTTCTTGGGGGCACTTGCTGCTGGTGACTTTTCTGTAGCTCACCAGCCTCTGCATCGAGATCTTCTTATTGGTGACTGTATAGCAGCAGGTGATCGGGGAATTAATTGCATCTGGAAATAGAACCACAAAGAAAATGAATTTTATGATGGACTCAATTTTTCTGATCTTAATCAGAGAAGAAAAGAGTAGGAAGGAGAAGCAAAAGGAAGTCAGGAATTGAGGTAGAACTCATTAAATCCTCATACCTCTGAATATACCTCAGACTAGAATGCCATACTGACTCACTTTCCTGTGCTATAAAATGAGTGTACATCACTGGCAATAAGAGAGGGAAGGTGGAGGTGTTAAAACTAGATAACTCCTGAGAGTGTTATTAGGAGGAGCTAATAATCCAAATGAACAGGGTCAGGGCAGATCAGCTCAGGGACCTCATCTGCAGGTCCCTCCTTCAGACTCTGAACCATCAGTGCCTGGAGGGGAGTTTCCCGGACGCGCATTGCCTCCGCAGAGCCCTGCCTCTGGAAGCAGACTGAAGGAGCACAGTGAAGATTCTGGGTCTCCTCCACCATGTCTGGAAATATCCCCACACACCCACCACCAGGCATCCCCTCTCTTGGATCACCCCAGTCCCCAAACCCTGCTGAAAGGAGCTGGGGCAGTGACTGCTTGAGGATGTGTTTCCAGAGCTGAGTTCTGGAAGGAGCTGGATTTGGGGTGCACAGCTGGCATTCTCATCCTGGCTCTGCCCAGGAGCAGCTGTGTGAGCAGGCTCACTCCTTATCTGTCTCAGACTTTCTCAGTCTTGGAAGAGCAACTGTCGTTAAGGTGGGAGTGTGAGTAGCCCTTCTCTGATGGCCCAAAACCAGAGATGGGGTGATGTGCTTCAGAGGGAGGGAGGGCTTACCCGGCTGAGCGAGCACCTGGGCGCTGAAGGCGGCTGCTGTGAGCATCAGGCACAGCAGGACGGCGGAGACCTTCATGCTGGAGGGTGAGTGCAGGAGCTTCAGCAGCTGAGAGTGGGAGGTTTTGGACTGCCTCAGCCTGTCTGCTCCTCTGGCTGGCTCTGCGTCCCTTTTATGGAAAGCCAAGAGGGTGGAGCACTAGGAGAGAGCTTGGCCCAGGGCAGCTTCATCCTCAATGAATGACGAAATGGAATCCGAAATGTGCTGAGCAAGTGTAGCACCCTGGGAGGTTTCCAGGAAGTAAGAGAGGGAAGCAGTGGGTCAGGAATGGGCACTGTTTCCATCTGCTACTGAGACCAAGAGAAGTGAGAGGGGCAGGGTACAGTTATGTCCAGAGTGACCACAGATGTGAACGAAGGGGATTTTTCTTAAGGATTCCACTTTCTCTTAAGTGAAAACTTCACAGAAAAGAAAGGAAACAAGGCAACAGAGAAAGGGAAATGAAAACATCTTTGGGCTCATCCTGACCCACCTCCAGGCAGCACCCCCAAAGGGCCTTTAAGTCAGGAGGGGGCCCTGAAGCCTTGGTGAGTTCCCCAACAGTGTATTAAATCCATTTGCTCTTTAAATGTAGGGTAGTGGCACAACTGAAGCTTAGCAGAATTCTAGGATTTTGTAACCATAGAACTGAATTCTAGACTCATTAGATTTGACTTGGAAGAAACCATATAGATCACGTAGTTCTGCAAAACAAATTTCCATGTCATAATCATACAATGCTTGCTCTGTGCCGAGAACATTCTGAGTCCCCTACAAATGTTAAGTCTTTCGATTCTCCATCCCCATCTTGTAGATCTTGTTTGTTAATTCCCATTTTATATATCAGAAAACCGAGGCACAGAGAGGTTAAGTCCAAGATCCTCAAGCAGAACTCCGGGTCTGTGCTGTCGCCACTATGACACACATCTGGATGAAATGTGCACACATCCTCTGACTGGCTGCTGGGTCATCTCTCAGGAGGCCCTCTGTCCTCAGTATCCCAAACTATCAGGCACCTAAAGGGGAGTCAAGAAACATTCACTGTGAATGAGTGACTCTGAGATTTTGAGCCTGTGGTCAGCACAGCAAATAACAATGGGTACAAGGTGTCCCACCTGCTAGGGCAGCTGTTAGCCCAGCTCAGTTCTGGTTTCCCAGAGAGCACGATTGAGCAGAGGAACAGTATTACAAGAATTAGTATGCCTGCCTGCAAGAGGAAGCTCTGCCTTGAGTTTCCTTATAAACCCCAAGAATCACAGTAATAAAACCTAAGAGACCTTAGCATTCATTTCAGTGAACTCCTTTCTTTTACAGATATGATAGGATTCCTTGAGTCACGTTAGCGTCTGACCCAAGCCTTGACTCCCCCATTCCACCGCCTCATGCTTCTGAGTTGGCTTTACTTTTTGCTCAGTGAGCCTGGGAGGATCTATTCACTCTTCATTGCTAAAGAGGGTCACTGAGACAATGTCTATAAGATGTGTGGAGCTTCTTGGAAGAAACCCTTGCTAATCACTACATCTGTAATAAGGATGGGTTCTGTTAAACAAATGCCTGTATCTGGCCCATAATAAGTGGTGGTAACGGCAAAGAAAAGAGGGTTGCTTTCTAGCATTTTCTCATCTGTCCTCCAAAGAGCCCAACTTTCCTTAGGTTGAAGCTGAAGTTAAGTAACTTGTCCAGGATCTCACAGGTAATAGGTGGGCTGGGATTCCCATCCAGGACACTCTGATTCCAGAATCCCTACTCACAGACAGAAGGCTTAGTGTCTCCTGATGGATATTGGTTTCCTGGGAATCTCAGAGCAGAGAACCCTTGGAGAGGCCATTCCATACTCTTAGGTATTATAATTCCCCACAGGCAGAACAGAGAGAAACAATCAGCATGTGCACTGCTTCCCTTTGGTCTTTTTCAGAGCCTTACTTTTATTCTGCCTGAATCTTGCTACCTACCCCTGCCCCAGGCTGAGACCTCTCTTTGTTTGGCCTAAGCTCTACTAATGGCTTAACCAATTCTTCTAGAATGAATAAAATATTTTCAGGAATGGAGACAGTGTAGCTCCACACATGTCTTCCCAGGCATCTCACTTCAACTTCTAAGTTTTTCTTCATTTTAATGGAAACCCCTCCCTAATCTGTTAGTGTCCTTTTCTACGGAAGGCAATGCATCCATCAAAGGATTGCGTCCTGTTTCCCTGTGGAATCCAGTCATTCCTTGGGTTTCCTCTAGGTTAACAGGTTAAATATGTCAAAATCTTTAAACTACTCTCTACTGGTTCAGCCACATCACTATCAGCGCTAGTCTCCTAAAACCAAAGGACCTGTAGAGACGGTGTATTTCACCCCTCCTCTTTGTATATGAGGAAACCTTATTCCAGAGAGGGAAGCCAGCAGGCCCATGGCCACACAGGAAAGCTTCCTGGCTTTTTTGAGTAGTTAGACTGAGTATTTGAACCTATGTCTCTACTTCAGGGAGTGATCATCATTTTTTTTTTTTGAGAGGGCATCTCTCATATTTATTGATCAAATGGTTGTTAACAGCAATAAAATTCTGTATAGGGGACTCAATGCACAATCATTAATCCACCCCAAGCCTAATTCTCATCACTCTCCGGTGATCATCATTTTTGGAAAATGACTTGGTCACTGCACATGTCAGACAATAAACAGATGAGAGGTGAAAGGGTGTGAATCAGAAAAGAAAGTCTTCTGAAAGATGACAGCCATCTCCCTCCCACTGCTGCTCTCAAACAGAGACGCTCCCCGCGGCTGCAAGGGCAGTCATGGAATAGGAGAAATGAGTGGAAATTCCCACTCTGACTCAGGTTTGGAAGTTCCCAGATCCCTTGGAAAATAACGTGCTTGGCTGGAGACTGCATTCCAGATGCCGGGCCTGGAGCCAGCGATGGCTCACGTGGGGCTGGGTCTCCTCAGCGTGAGGACTGTATTGGGCCTCTGCTCAGTAGCAAAAAAGGGACTGCCCAGGGAAGTTGTGGCGGCAGTGGTGGCAGGGAGGGGGCAAGGCCTTGCTGCTCCTGGAATCCCTGGGGCCCCTGGGACCCCCACTCCATAAACTCATAGGTGAGGAATGGAAAAGTTCCTCTTGGTGAATAATCCTTGCTTCCTTCCTTCCAGTGGGCGGACCCTTCCCCAACAGCATCCTCCGCATGAACCTTTGTCATCGCCCCAGACTCCCACTCAGTGTCAGGGGTGAAGGAAAGAGGAAGCAGTAGTGAGCTTTCTAGAAATACCAGAAGACAGCGCCTCTCCCCCTGCCTTGGCCCTCCTCTGAAGCCCACTGGCTTTCCCCTCCCATCCAGCACCAGGGCCCCTGCCCATGCCTGCTGACCCTCCCCAGCTCACACCTCTGAGCTGGGCATGCAGTAGGCTTTGTACCTGTCAGGACCTTTCCAGACACTGGCCCCAGGCCTCTCCCCCGGCTTCTCCCATCTCCTCTCCTCCATGTTATCTCTCAGCTCCAGGTAGACCAGAGCCTGTTTTTCTAGGACCCCAACTCCGTGACCCCTTTGCTTTCAAGGACTAGCAGTCCGTTCTTTATTCTTGCTCAGAATATCAGATGTCAGTGAGACCTTAGAGGTCATCTTCCTGTTTCACTGATGGGAAAACTAAGGGCAAGAAAGAGGCAAGGACAGGCCTGAGGTGACATGGACAACGAGGGGCTATGTTTGTGGAGTTGGTCCATTTTCAGGCCCCCAGTGCACCTGTCTGCATGTACTGCCCCTCCTCCTTATTACAACACTCATACAGTTAGCATCTACCAGCACTTGAGCCCTACAGTGCTGAAGGGTCGCAGGTAAGCAAACAGCTGGGGCAGTGGCAGTGCCGACGCGCCATAGCCCCCTTGCTGGACTGTAACTGCAGGGCAGCACCATGTGGGGAAGCCACTTCCCTCCCTGGTGGTTGCATTGCACAAGGCGGCCTGAGCAGTGTCTGGGGGAATGCAGAGAACAGTGGAGGGCCCTCTGTGAGGGTGCTGAACTGGGACATCTTGGGGAAACAGATCATGAGGAGCAGGGGGAGAAACACGGTTTTGACAGCCTTATACTGAATCCTTGTTTTGACCCCTGTGCTGGGATCACCTGGGGGAAACTCAAGTGGCACTTGGAGTCACTGTGGGAAGCAGAGGGATGCAGCACTGGGGGCCCCCCGCGGAGGGGCTCAGGAAGGCTTCATTATGGTGCATTATGATGGCTCCAGGACCAGCAGGTTTTGAACCTTGGGTGCTTATTGGATGGAAAAGGGGCACATTTTGGAGCAAACAGAGACGGCAAATTTAAAGTGCTCACACATCCCCTTGGGATCTTGTTCTGATCCTGGTTCTGTAGGTCTTGGGGGTACCTGAGATCTTATATTTCTAACCAGATCCCAGGTGACACTCATGACATTCTGTGGTCCCATTAAGGTAATCTGACAAGGCTTCAGCAGGGGAAATGCTAGTGATGTGTGGAAACGGCGAGCAGTTCATACGGTTCTTGTCTGTGGCTCTTGGCTAGGCTTCAAGAACTACCTGGAATTGCCTTCCACACTACATGATGGTATATTTTTCTGGAGAGAGGGTCCATAGCTTCCATCAGATTAGCAAAGCCATCCATGACCTCCAAAGAACACCACTGAACCTATCAAGAATAGAGACTTCTGGTCTTCACCACAAACTTGCTGAATCATGATCTGTAATTTTACTATGTAAAACTGTATTTTTTCTAAGCTCTCCCCGACCCTCAGATGATCACCAGACTGTGTTTGGGCACCGCTGGGCTAAAGTACAGGATACAAGAAGTAGAGACCATGCTGGCTGGGCTGGGTGGCACTAACAGAAAACAAGGCACAGGCAAAGAGGAAAGAAACAAGGGAAGAGAGAAAGAGTAAAAGAAGTGGGAGAAAGTAGAGGCAGCCTGGAATCATGGAGAAAGCCCAGGCAATGTCAGAGGACTAGGGCCAGAGGCATCTCTGGGCCTCTTCTGTAACATGTGGTTCGTAAGAGCTGTTTCTAACATTGTCACAAGACTTGGTTGCAACAATAAGCCAAGGTGCTTCATAAGCAATGTGTAAGGGCTGTGTCACTAGAAAGGTCTGAGCCAGCTGTAGTCTCTGGGAGTC